GCACGCATGCGCAGGGAATGTGGGGAGGGGCGCACGCATTGCATTCTGGGTACTGGCATGTGAGGACGTACGCGCTGGCGCGCATGCAATTTTTGGCACGGAAGCCCAAAAAAGGTTATCCACCGCTAGTCTCCTGCTTGAAAAGTGGGTTGGACTAGAAGACCTCCAAGGTTCCTTCCAGCTCTATTCTGATTCCTTATCTGCTTTTGTAGGGGGCCAGGGGAGGAATTTTGTTTCAGTGGGTCTTTTTCAGAAGATGGTTGCTGCAGATGCATTAGCGCGTTCTATTTTAAGATTCTGTGCAATTTATTTATTTATTTTTCTAGGCGGTGGTTTTCTATTCGACCGTAAGCCGACTTCTGTTAGCTAACATCTGCACAGCAGCTTTAGACAGATTTAGACAGGTTCCTGAACATTTTCAAGAAATGGATTGTATTCAGAGGTACATGCAGGTAACCCACTCATTTAGCCACTGTTCAAAATTACAGCAGCACTTAAGAAGCGACTTACAACCATTGCAATGTCCCATGATCACGTGATCAAACTTTAGGGGATTGACAACTGGTACGGTAAGTATTTATGACGGTTGCATTGTCCAGGAGTTATGTGATCACCCTTTGTGACCTTCCCAGCCTGTTTCTGACAAACAAAGTCAATTGGGGAAGCTGGATTTGCTTAACAATCGGTATGATTCTCTTAACAACGGAAGTAATTCGCTTTAACAACCAATGGCAAAAAAGGTCATAAAATTTCACAGGAACTTAAGAACTGCCTGGCCTCATCATCATTTCTCCACCTTGCAGGGTGGAGTTTGGGCAACTGAATGGAGCTAGCAGAGTGTTTTAATGGCCGGATATCTTTCCTGTTGCCAGTGCGGAGTTTTGTTTTCAGCAGATATATTCTCAGTGTGCCCAGAGAGAGAAATATCTGCCTCTACCTAGGATCGAACTCACGGTCTCCTGATTGTGAGGCAAGAGCTCCACCTCAAAGCCACCGCACCACTCCACAACTGCCTTGCTTAGCAATGGAAATTCTGGTGGTCGTAAGTCGAGGACTACCTGTATGTTGGTTCCATGAAAATATTTAACAGAACACATACAGAGTCTTGTTCCACATATGCTTATGGACTTTGGCACATATCTGTATAAACCTATGTACTACGGTGCATCTACTGCTATCCCCGACATGGCTCAATTTTACTGCATAAAAACTACAAAAATATATATATATATATACTTTTTTATTTTTAATTGTTCTCCTATTGAGCATTTTTCTTCTGAAAGCGGACAAATATTCTGTCGATGCCCTACAAAGGAAGTCACATTTCTGCAGAGTTTTCCAAAGTTTCAACTAGTTCATAGACTTTCAAATTGGGAATTTCTGTCTATTTTGACTTTTGAGAAATACGGCTTCCTTCGTCTGACATAGGACAGAAATATGGTCCAATGTCTGAACGACACATTTAATTAGGCGAAATGGTTTTTTTTCCACAATAATGAAATCAACACTTTCTTTTTCATATAAATGGCTATTCCCACTTGAAGCAAAGGTGAACCTTGAGGTCCCTGAGACGTACATTGCTAAAGTCCAATTGCAACTCATGGAAAATTCAGCAGGTAATTCCCATCCGTTTTCAAAAAGAAATTAAAGATGCCATAGGCCAGATCAGCCACCTCCTTTTCCTAACGTCTGCCTCTCCAACTGTCCATTACATTATAATCCTGTTGTATGATCCCATCACTGCAGATTTTGTGCATGGTGGCTCTAAAAAAAATACACCTGCACCAAAAAAAATTGTCATCTTCTGCCTTAGAAGATGGGCCGTGCATACCTTGTGACTGCCCTGCGCACTGATTAAAAGATAAGTATTTCCCTGTCCAGTCGTATCCAACTCTAGAGGAGTGGTGCTTATCTCCGTTTCTTGGTCAAGGGAGCCAGTGTTGTCCAAAGACACATCTGTGGTCATGTGGCCAACATGGCTATACTCCAAAGGCACAGAGAATGCTGGTACCTTCCCACCGAAGTGGAACCTATTGATCTACTCGCATTTGCATGCTTGTGCTCTGATTAAACTGGGCTGAATCCTAACACATGCTGTGCTTTGTTTTTCGACCTCCTACTGTCCTCTGGAAAGTCAAAATGGATGAAGGGAAGGACAACTATCCTGTTAAATTAGAGCAAAAGTTTACGTAGTCCATAGTTTTGATTCCTGAAGGACTTTTGCACGATGTTCAGAGACGGCGTAAGGAAGCTGGGGGAACTATCATTCTGAGTGTTTTATGCAAGAGGGAAAGAGTGGTAGGAGAAGGGCAGGCAGAGCCTGAAGGTGGAGTCAAGAGAGGAATCAGCCTGGAATCCTTATGTTTCCACAAGCGGTCCAAATCCAATCT